GCCCCCGCTGCCGCAGGAAGAGGCAGAGCAGGGTCACGGGCAGCGGGGGTGCCGGAGCCGGGGCGGTCAGGCGCGCGTGCAGGGAGCCCAGTGGTGCCAGCTCCATCACCTGCAGAGACGCATAGCAGCGGCCTGAGCCGGTGTCGGGTTCCAGGGGATTCTGGCCGCCCCCATCCCACCGCACACCAGCCCCACCAGCCCGGGGCCACCAGCCCGGATAGCCTCACCATCTGCAGAGGCTGGCCCAGGACCAGGCCGTGCAGACGCAGCACATGAGGGTGCTCCAAGTTCATCATGACAGACACCTCTCGCAGGAAGTCCCCCAGCTCTGTGCCCACGGGGCCTTCGGGACCTACCCGGAGAGACTTCACAGCCACTGGGACCTGGAGGTGGGAGAAGCACCATCAGGCACCCTGGAAACGGCCTTAACAGGGTCAGACAGAGGGTGCATGAAGAACTTAGGAGCAGCCGGCCCAGGCACCCTGGGGGAAGCAGGCTCCCTGGACACTCACACTCTGGCCGCTGGGCAGCGTCCACAGCCCTCGGTGCACCACACCAAAGCAGCCTGAGCCCAGCAGCTCCCCTCTGCGCACAGCACTCTCTGGGATCAGACACTTGAGTCCAGCCTCTGACTCAGGGAAGCATCGGGGGCTCTCTACTGGTGGAGGGGTCTCTTTCTGCTCATGGGTAAGACCACCAAGGATCTGAAACAGGGGTGGAAAAAATCAGAGAAAATCCTCCAGTCACTCAGCACACCCAGCTTGTAAAATTCTTTCATTGTATGTATCATTATTATTGTATCATTTCATTGTATGTATCATTATTATTGTTTTTATTTGCTACAGGGTACATGTGCTCACCAGAGAGAGAGAAAGAGCAAGTGAGAAAGCAAGCTGCCAGGTCTAGGACTCGAACTGCAGTTAGCCCCGTGGGAGACCAGCACCCCAATCACCATGCCACCTGCTGGGCCCAGCTCACCCGGTTTCTAGGCTTAACTAAGCTTGCCCTTTAAGCCTCTCAAGCTCCCCAGCCCCCAACACACACCTTGTAGACCCAGTTCTTAGACTTGAGCCCAGAACGGTGCCTCTTCAGAGCTTCAGCCAGTCTGCGCTGGGCTGGAAGAGGCCAGAGCAGAGGGTTAGGGTGGAGGTGGGGGTGAGAAGATCCAGAGGAATTTTCAGGGAGGGGACTGGGGCATGTGTGTGCTGGTAGTGGGGAGGGAGGTGGGTAACTGACAGGCTGGGGAAGCAAAGACCGGGGCTGGGGGCAGGGGTCGCCTCACCAGGTCGGCCCATGCCGATGCTATCCAGGTCCTCAGGCGTTACAAAGTTGAAGTGCTCTGGCCGAGTGACATTTAGCTCTTCAAGGATGGGCCGGTAAAACTGAGCCAGCTGGGTGTCACGGAGCAGCTGCAGCAGCCACAGGGAGCCTGCCTCTGGGAGCATGTCTCTAGAAGGAACCCCTAAGGATGATGGCACCTCCGTCAGATCTATAGCCCAGGGTAAGCACCCAGGACACTCAGACCCCCAGAGATGGGGTTTCCTGCTCCAGCCTCAACCCATCAGAAACACTGATTCAGAGGACACAACAGAGAAAGACAGGAACCCTGCGGTGTATGCACACAAACCAGGAAGCAGGCTCCCCGACCCAGGGCCTCCAGGTATGTGCCCGCTTACCACTGAGAAACTTGCCCTCCTTACTCCTAACAGATCACGGCACACTGTGCTGTACCCCGAGGTCCCCCAGATCTGGTGCCCTTTTAGATCGGAGCTAACTGTTGCAGATACTCTACACACCTGACTCCTCTCCTCATACATGAGACAGGGCCTACCACAAACATACTGGAGCTAAGATAAGCTAGCCACAACATACTTCAGACATAGGTAGACATGCAGGTAGGCACATTCACAGAGTCAGACAGCTATAAAGCCACTGCTACACACACACACACACACACGCACACGCACACACACACACACGCACACACACGCAATGAGACCTACAGATGTGCTGCAAACATGCCTGGGACAACCAGGTATGTCCTTTGGAATTTAAGCCATTTCAGTATGCTGCCACGGGACACCCAGGCTCACGGCGACTCGCCCTCTCACGTGCACGGCAGTTCACTGCCTCCACACACCGAAGATACTTAGATACACCCAGTGTTCACGTCTGACACATCAAGGTCCACACACACAACACACAAGATATCCAGGTACAGTGTCTACACATACCTGAGTTATCCAGGAATGCTGTTCCCTCACCCCAGAGACTCCCAGGGTCATTGGCTTACCCCCCCTTTTTAAATTTGCTATAGGGCATATACACTCACCAGAAAAAGAAAGATGGAGAGAAGGAGAGAGAGAAAGTGAGAACGTACCCCCGAGGGGGAAGGCTATGGCACGATTCCTTCTCCAGTCTCCTCTAGGGATTCTGGGCATGCATGCACGCATGCCCGGGGTGTTTCTCAAGCCATAGTCCCAACCCAAAGTCTGCTGACCATGGTCATCCCACTGCCTTAACCATCAGGGATTAGTTGGCCCAGTCATTGCCTCTTGAACACCCAAGGCAGCAACACTGGAAATCAAATGGGCCTCTAAATGCAGTTGGTGCTAAGTACTGCCTCGAGACCCACCTAGGCTGTCAGGTGACAGTTCCACGCACACCCACCTGAGCTCACCTACTGGTAGATTCCTTCTAGCACACCCGAGCCGCTCAAGTCCCTCGATCTGACTCCAACCTTTGTTAGATAAGGATGTAAGGGCTCTGGGTCCTGGCGGCCCGCAAGATCGCTTTCGCTTACAAACACGCCTGAGCACACACACGCATAACGCACACCCTTTAGTTAAGCGAGGAGGAAGCTGATGACTCAAGGTTGGGCCCAGGTGGAAAATCAGGCGGGGAGGGCCTAGGAACTGGGCGCAAGCAGGTGAGGAGAAGCGGAAAGCCCAGGACCCTGGGAGACCCAGCACTGCAGGAAAGGTGGGAAGGGAAAGCTCCAGAGAAGAGAGAGACGCGGCCGCGGAATGGTAGGGCCCCAGGGAAGGGTAGCACCCGCGGACGCACCCCGGGCGACGACGGCTCCGCTGGCCAGCTTCAGCCCGAGTGCCTGGGTTTCTCTGGATCTCACCTGGAGAAGGCGGAAGCGGCAGCTGCGGAGCCGCCCAGGTTGCCCTGATTAAATCCCGAGGAGGGCGGGACCTGGCCAGCCCGGGCCGCGCCCCCAGTTCCCTGGTGGAACAGTGAAGGTTGCGGGGGCGGCTGGCAGCCCTTCCCTCCTCCAGGTCACGTTGGCTCCCTCACCTTGGGAAACCTCTCTTCCCCTGGCCTTTCCTCGCCTTCCTCTCGGCCTTTTCCAAGGAACTTTCCACCCCTCCCCAGCCCTCGCCATGTCTCTCCCCAGGTCTTCACCTCTCTCAATCAGAGCCCCACCCCTTGAATGAACAAGCCCGGGATAGAGACGTCCTGTCCAGGCGCTGGAATGTGAGGCAGGACGTGGCCCTGCCTTTAGGAGGGAGAGCCCACCTTCCGGGTAGGAAAGCCAGGCACTGTGGGGTGCTCTGGGATGGGACCAGAGCAGAGAAGTGGTGATGTGGGTTCAGGAAGTCACCACCTCACCTCCTACCCAAGCAGAGTCTCAGGCAGATCTCCGTGCCCCAGGGCACCCCCTGCCCATCACTGGCACTTCCCGGCCTCCTTCCAGAACAACACCTACCACCTGTGGGGCCTCTGCCCACCCCAGAGCTCTGCACACTGCCACCTGGCCTGTGGCCACCGGGAGATGGGCCAGGACCTTGAAGAGGGCCCCGAGGATGAGAATGCCTTCTCCCTTTTTCTCAAGGGTCTCAGAGAAGAAGCTGCCCGTCCTAAGACATCTGGCCTGCCTCATAGCTACCTAGAGGGTAGGAACGATGCCTGAACAGGGCAGGTGCTGTCCCCGGGGTCAGTGGGAGGGAAAGGCCCTCTCGTCTTGGTAAACACAGAGCCGGGCCAGCGTTGATAGGAAAATCTTCCTAACGCCGCTCTGCACGCACTGTTTTGTTGCCAGTGCTTTTACCCTCCAACCAGACCGGTTGATCACACAGTAACGGCCCCTTCCACATCTGTCATCTCTGATACAGCGTGAGCCCCGCAGGGCAGGGGCTTGGACTGTCTTGTTCATTCTTGTGCTCTAAAAGTACCTAGGACCAGGCCAGCAGGCGGCCTGGTGGTTGAGGCACTGGACTCCCATGTGGCTGACAGCAGTTCCAGTCCCAGACCTGGGGCTTGCTTTCTCACTTTCCCTCTCTCATCATCTGATGATCACACATGCCCTAGAGCAAATTAAAAAATATTAATTGGGGCCAGCAGGTGGTGTAGTGGTTAATATGCATGGCCTATGGCAGTTCAAGTCCTGGACCCAGCAACTTGAAACTCAAGGTGTGTGTGCGTGTGTGCCCAGAATCCTGAGAGGAGAATGGAGGAGAAGGAATTGTGGTGTGGCCAACCCCAATAGGGGTGATTTCTCACTATATCTCTGTCTCTCTGGCGAGTGTACACACCCTGTAGCAAAAAATCCCTCCAAAATATACACAATAACAATAATAAGTAATAATAATAAATAAAATTTTGGGACCAGCAGATGACATGATAATTATATTGCTGGACTCCCACATAGTTGACCACGATTTAAGTCCCAGATCCTGCAGCTTAAAACACACGCTGGGTGTGTGTGCATACGTGTCCCAGATCCTGAGAAGAGAATAGAGGGGAAGGGATTGTGGCATGGCCGTGCTCCCAGGGGACTCTGCTCAGTATGTTTTATTTCTTTTATCTGTGAATTCACATCTTTCATTAGTTTTGGGAAATTTTCAGCCACTATCTTTTCAACTACTGTTTTTCCTCCATCCTCTGTGCTCTCCCATTGGGGATTAGAGGTATGCTAAGTCTTTTCATTCTATCCTCCATGTCTTTTGACCTCTTTTCCATATTTTTCATTCTTGTGTCTTCTTTTTTGAAAGAATTATTTTATTTTATTTATTCATTCATTTCTTTTAATTTGACCAAAGAGAGACACACAGAGAGAGAGAATGGGAAAGTGAAACTCGACTGTGGTTGGCCCTGTGGGAGTGTCCAGCGCCTTAACCACCACGCCGCCTGCTGGTCCCTCCATTCTTGCGTCTTGATGATACAATCCAGGTAATCTTTTTTTTTTTATTTTTGAGAGGTTTTTGCTATAGGGCGTGTGCGCTCACCAGAAACACAGAGAGAGACATAGAGACAGAAAGAGAGAAATCACCCCCTGGGGGGATGGTCATGCTGCAATCCCTTCTCCTCCATTCTCCTCTCAGGATCTTGGGCATGCACGCACAAGCGCCCGGCATGAGTTTTAAGCCACCGGGTCCGGGACACGAATCGCGGTCGACTGCATGGGAGTCCAGCGACATAGCCATTACGCTAACTAACTGCTGGTTCCCACTTATATACTTTATATATATATATATATATACACACACACACACATATACATTTATATATATATTTGAGAGATTTTTTTGCTATAGGGCACATGTGTTCACCAGAAAGACAGAGAGAGAGACAGACAGGAAACAAAACATCACCCCCCCCCAGGGGGACAGCCATGTGGCAATCCCTTCTCCATTCTCCATTTTGTTGTCAGAATTTTGGGCATGCATGCACATGTGCCTGGTGTGAGTTTTAAGCCACCAGGTCCAGAAACATAACCATTATGTCATCTTATGGTCTCTATTTATTTATTTTTTAACTTGCTATAGTCATCAGAGAGAGAGAGAGGAAAAAAAAAAGAGAGAGAGAGAGGAAAAATGAGAAAACAAGGTACCAGGTCCAGGATTCGAACTGCTGCCAGCCATGTAGGAGTCCAGCACCTTAACCACCATGCCATCTGCTGGCCCCTAGATAATCTCTTTATATCTATCTTCTAATTCTCCAATTCTTTCTTTGATTATGTCTCATGCTGTTTAGCCTGTCAACTGAGATTTGTTTTTGTTTAATTTATATGAACATTACTTTCTTTCTTTTTTTTCTTTTCTTTTTCTTTCTTTCTTTTTTTTCTATATGGCACATGTGCTTGCCAGAAAGAAAGAGACAGTAAACACACCACAGTCCCTTTTTCTCCATTCTCCTCTTAGGATTTTGGGCACATATGCACACGTGCCTGGCGTGATAAGCCACCAGGTCCAGGACTATAACTGCAGTCAGCCTTGAGGGAGGCCAGTGCCTAATCACTGCACCACCTGCTGGTCCCACAGTGTCCTTTTTTTTTTTAAGAATTTTTTTGGGGAACCAGCAGTTAGTGTAATGGCTATGTCTCTGGACTCCCACGTAGTCGACTGCGGTTCAATTCCCTGACCCGGTGGCTTAAAACTCATGCCGGGCGCGTGTGCATGCGTGCCCAAGATCCCGAGAGGAGAATGGAGGAGAAGGGATTGCAGCATGACCATCCCCCCTGGGGGGTGATTTCTCACTTTCTGTCTCTATGTCTCTGTCTGTCTGTCTGGCGAGCGCACGCGCCCTATAGCAAAAACCTCTCCAAAAAAAAAAAAAAAGAATTTTTTTAATCTAACTTTCTTTCCCTTCCTTCCTTCCTATTTTCTTTCTCTTCCTCCCTCCCTCCCTCCTTCCCTCCCTCCCTTCCTTCCTTCCTTCCTTCCTTCCTCCCCCCTCACCTTGTTTTTCTTTTTTTTTCTTTTAATTTGACCAGAGAGAGACAGAGAGAGAGGAACATGAGAAGGCAAGCCTCCAGTTTCGGGACACAAACCATGGTTGACCATGTGGGAGTCCAGCACCCCCAACCACCACACCACCTGCTGGAGCCACAATGTCTTTTGAAAAAAGGAATTTTGGGGACCAGCAGTTAGCGTAATGGCTATGTCTCTGGACTCCCATGTAGTCAACTGCAGTTCGCGTCCGGACCCGGTGGCTTAAAACTCAGGCCGGGCGCGTGTGCGTGCGTGCCCAAGATCCCGAGAGGAGAATGGAGGAGAAGGGACTGCGGTGTGGCCATCCCCTCTGGGGGGTGATTTCTCGCTTTCTGTCTCTCTGTCTCTCTCTGTCTGTCTGGCAAGCACACGAGCCCTATAGCAAAAATTTCTCCAAAAAATAAAAAATTAAAAAAAGAGGAAGTTTTGGGGCCAGCAGGTGCTGTGGTGGTTGAGGGCGCTGGACTCCCACATGGCCAACCGCGGTTCGAGTCCTGGACCTGGCAGCTTGCTTTCTCTCTCTCTCTCTCTCTCTGTGTCTCTCCCTGGTCAAATTAAAATAAATAAAGTTAAATAAAATAATTATTAAAAAAAAAGAAAAGAGGAAGTTTTAAATTTGGATGTAGTCTAATCTATTTTTTCTTCTACAGTTTATCTTTTCTGTGTTCTATTTAAGAGTTTTAACTTTAATTTCAATTTTTTTTGAGAGTTTTTTTTCACTATAGGGTGCGTGCATTCGCCAGACAGACAGACAGACAGAGAGACAGAAAGAGAGAAATCACCCCCCAGGAGGGATGGTCATGCCACAATCCCTTCTCCTCCATTCTCCTCTCGGGATCTTGGGCACGCATGCACACGCGCCCGGTGTGAGTTTTAAGCCACCGGATCCGGGATGCGAACTGCAGTCGACTACATGGGAGTCCAACGACATAGCCATTACGCTAACTGCTGGTCCCCATAATTTCAATTTTTAAAGTATTTTTCGAGTTATTTTTGGGTCTTTTCTCAAATTTTCCTGGTCAGCTTTTATATAACCTCTTTTGCTTTCTCATTTTTTATTCCACATTAAAATTATTTATAGTTTTGTTTTGAGATTCCTCCTGGCACCCATGTGTTCACCCACCCAGAAACTCTTTTGATGCTGTTATTTAGGCTTTATTTCATTTGCTATAGGCCGTGTGTGTTTACCTGTGAGAAACAGAAAATGAAGAAATACCTGCAGGCTGGATGGCCATGCAGTTCCTTCTCCTCTATTCTCCCTCAGGATTTAGGGCACATCTACACAGACGTTGTCATGTTTTCAAGCTGCTGGGTCTGGGACTTGAACTGTGCAATAGGCTAAGTAGGTTACAGCCACCTGAATTTATGCACCACCTACTCGAAAAAAAATTTTTTTGAGAGATATTTTTGCTATAGGGCACATATACTCACCAGAAAGACAGAGAGAGACAGAAAGAAAGAAAACAAGATATCACCCCCCAGGGGCGATGGCCACACCACAATCCCTTCTCTTCCATTTTCTTCTTCTCTTCTCTCAGGATCTTGGCAGGC